GGACCAGGGCCTGGGCAAAGCAGCTTCTACCCGGCGCTTTGTAATGGCTTGGGGGTTGAACCCTTAGCCTTAGGAGTCCCTTAAAAGGATTGCTATAAATAAGTCGGACACCACCCACTACTGGAACCACCAGGACACCTCTGGAGGTTCATGTTTATGAGCCTATGAAAAGCACGCTGAGCAAGCACCAGCATGAACAGCAGCAAGATGACCGAGTATGGTTGGGGAGGCTAACTTGTAGATTGCTACAAACATGCTGAACGACGATCACTGTGCGCGCTCTGCAGCTCGATGGAAGAGTACATTAATAAGCTCTGCGCTGTTTTGTTGCTACAGAGTGGTGACTGCTTGTTGCTACAGGATGCTGGCTCGGGTTCCCATGGCCAAAGGAAACATGTGACGGGTGCTGGCAATGGCAGCTTGTCAAACCAGATTCAAAAACAACACACTCATGGGTGTGTTGAACAATTCTCGTGAGCCACTCACGACGTGTGCGATACAGGCAAAGCTCTTCAGTCTGTGCTTTTGATGCGGCTGCAACACACCCCCATTCAACAACGGCAACTCATCAGAGAGATGCATTTGCACTAGACTTCACCGACTTCACCGCAAGAAGGTGCAGGTGCTGAGGAGTGTTCCCGGCGAGCTCGCTCGACCTTCGAATCGGTGAGCGCAGCCTCTTTGATGCTCGCACTGAAACAGACAATGATGCGTGCGCTTTGAACCCACTGCCAAGGCCTTCAAACGACGTGACGGGGCCTCATAATTTCACTCGCCACGATTGCGCCAATTCGGCCAATGAAAACTTGTGAAAGAACCCTAACATAAGATTCGCGCCGCTGATTCTGAAACTTCTTTGAATGCATTACAATTCCCCCTGAAAAAACAGCGTGAATCTAAATATTGCAAAGCTCTGGGCAACACTTTGCATCTACAGGTTGAAGTTGCGGTCTTCTTCTAGCACACTGGCTCGATATGATTTCACCTTTGGGAATATTTGCTGAAACGTCCCTTGCGGCCTTCTCCAGCTTGGCAGTGTCTGCTGTGGCTTCGGCGGCCATGGCCGGCTGCACAAGCGCAGGGCGTGTGGAAAACGCGAACCTTACGATTTCACATGAGCACTTCTGGTTAGTCAGGAGATGCTGCTGACGCGAAAACATAGCTTGCGCATGCTTGAGCGGACTATGTACATTGCTGTACACACTTCATAGCTCTGCGATTTTTTGAATTTTCAATTTGATGGCGCGGAGCTGCAGACGGCATGATTGTGGCATGACTGGGACCGATCTCAAGAGACTTGATCGAAACTTGGATAGCTATCTGCTTTAACCCTGGCATCTGCATCTTCAATGCAACAGAATACAGGTCAGCTGTGTGACGTACAGAAAAACGAGGACACCATAACAGGTGGAAAGCCACAGGCCTGGCCTACAACAAGAATCACAAGCACGCACTAGCCGCTTGTGTTCCTCATACACACGCGAATGCACAATTAGCGAAGGTGGATCTGCTTGAGGGTGAGTGCTGCACAGGGGCCGAAGCGCACGACAGCTCAGACTTGGTGTCTTTTACCTGTCAAAATGCTGCGAGTATATTGCAACTCAAAATCTACAGCCGTCCTAGACGAGCTAAGATGACTCAAGGAAACCCGCATACAATCCATATTGGGAACATCGAAGCCCTCAAGGCATAACGGCCTCACGTTTTGCTGCCCGGCTCCGTTTGTTTGTCGTGACTTGCCTACTACTCCCACAGGCTCAGTCACGTTATGTAGGCCTTGCACAGGCAAGGCCGGGCATGGGTGTGACTCCCGCACAAGCCCCTGTCAATCCAATACGCATGACACAAGATGCAGTCGCTGAAGCACAGTTACCAAGGATACAACTGTCCAAGTTCATACGCCGGACACTTCAAGCGGGACCTTTGTAGCTTATGGGGTTGATAATATGGGGACGACTTAGTACTGTAGAGGGTGCATAAGCATTGGTTATATTTAGATGGGTACATGAAGTAAGTAGACTGGGGTACCTTTCTAGGGGTCCTTCCTAATAACCCGCGGTAAGCCCCCCAACCCTAAACCCTAAACTGTCTTCCCCATATTTCCCTCCATAACCTACAGTAGTCCGACCCCCCCAATCCGCAAATGAAAAGCCCAACATAACTTTGAGGGTTTCCGACAACTAGGGACCGCCTTTATATCTCTGGAAATTAACACATGTGAAATCATAATCCTAAGTCTAGATAAACTTCATACGGTCCGCGAAGCAGAGATGGAAAACCTGAACGGGTCCTGCAAGCACTGCTGCGCAGCAAGTCCTGTCTACATCTGAGGTCTACACCTTAAACATTGAAGCCTCGCAAACACTAAGCCCGAAGCCAAAAACCCTAAAAACCCGCTACCCGCACTTAGGGGAGCGTTGGACCAGTCCAAGCGGCTTGTGGCCCTTTCGGATATCCAGTATCTTACAAGCATGCTCTCCATGCTTTCTTTCATATGTTCGGTGGATGATGGAGTCCCAAGTTATCAGTGCCCTCATGCAGCTGAAGCCGTGCACGCTGACTTGACCTTTGCGCCTGGTTTCCCAAGTCCCAAGTCCAAGACCCCTAAGCCTGTGAGCCCTCATAGGGAACGTAAATCTGTAGATCAGACCAGCGGCCGCCACGCGCTGGAACCGCCTGCACAGCAGAGTCAGGCACTCCAAACACCCTGATGCTGTGTTTGGGCGCCGCCTGCCGTTTGGTGCAGCGGCCGTCCCAATGGGAGTGACGGTTTGAGTTGGACTTCAACATTTTAAGTGGCGGGTGCCATGGACCTTTGGGCTTTAGGCATTTTGCTTCAGGATGCCAAATCCTAATCATCATGCTTGCAACTTTGACTACCTCATGGCTCCGATTGCTCCGACTCTCTCCCCTCCACAATGCTCCCTACCCACAATAATCTCTGGCCTTAAAGAAGCCCAGCCAGGCGCGGAGGCCTCTGAGGATGGGCTCCTCAAGGAGTATATGACAACCCACAATGCGCCTTCCATCAATTCTGGCATGATGCTGGAAAAATGCGAAACACTTCACACGTGCTGCCTACATTGCCTTTACTGTTGACACCTCTTTGTGTGGTAAGCAGGGTCCCAAAACAAAAGCTGGAGTGGACAATGAGGCTGTGTCTCACGGTCTACGGGTTCTTGAAGAACATATACTCCCTGCATAGCTCCTATACTAGTCCTACACCAATCCAAAACTACGAGTGTGTGACACCCTATGTACTCCCTATATGAGCATCTGATCACCCCACTTTAGTCACCCCGGCAGCGTTGCACCACGTGCTGACGAGAAGCTTCCACAGAGAGCCCACCCTCGTAAGCCAGGCGGAGCGCGCGCAGCGCCTTCTCCTGACATGCGCGCAACGCGACGGTGTAGGCATTTTACATAGAACAAGACAACTTCGAGATTTCGCATAAACGTAAAATTTGTAGGGCCCGTCAAGCAAGCCAAGGCAGTAAAAACCAGCTTCACCAACAACAACCCCTGCACAACGCACTGCGCCTAGCACAATAAAATCAATAGAACGGTTTTAAAGAAAGGCCTCCGGCCCCAAACTCTAGGCAACCTCAGATACCACCAGCAGCCAAGCAGCACCGTCTTGGGTGAGAATGGCGTGCCGGAGGGCCTCTCCGAAGTCCAGGGCCTGCAGACTTGGGACAAGACATCACTGAAGAGCTCCAACATGTTGTGGAAGATGGTTCACCCTGCAGAGAACCATCCTGATTGCAGCTGTGTGTCCGTTAGCATCTCTTTGCGAATACAGAAGTGAAATATCTCAGCTTCAGCAGTCCCAGTTCCCCCAGCTCCAGCCAAACGGATCCTACCTACCTCGCGAAGGCTAGCGTCTGACGAGCGTAGCACAAGGAAGTGCAGCCAGGCATCCAGTCTATGCGACGCCACCACCCCTAGAATGGATCCCTAAGTTTTGGAGACCCCATGTGTGAAGGCCTCCACGTTGTCGCGGGAGCAGTCGCCGTGGGCCTTGCCTTGTGGCAAGAGAGGCTGAGCCATAGATCGTATAAGAGGTCAAGTAGCCAAAGAACAAGTAAGCAAATGGGCAACAGCCGGAAGCTTGGAATGCCAGTCCCCAGGCTATTTTTACTAGCAGATTCTAATGCTAGCAAATCCCATCAGCAAGTAGGTAGCCACATGTTCTCATCCTGGTTTTGCAAATTCAGGACTGGTTATTTTTGACAGCCAGAAATGCTTGCGTAAACCATCAAACCTGCTGCAAGAAACCAAATTCTCCATTTGGTCCATGTTTTGCACATGGGGGTCAGCCCCACACCCTAATCCCCCTCGAAGCAAATCTTGGCGAGTACTTAGGCTTAAGCAACTTTGCAGAACGTGATGTTCTGATCTTCGTCCATATTTTTTGTTACTGGGGTGGCTGCGCCTAAGCCTGAATACCCCCCCCCCCCACTCTTTCTTTGGCAAACGCGATCATTTGGCAGTAATATCACCAATTCAGCAATAAGATGCATGTTCTCATTTGTTCCCATGCTTTGCAATGCAGATCTGGGGCTTGCGCCCCAGCGCACAATGCCGGTGCTTGTTTTGAACTTAAGTTAAGCCAACGTTTGGGTGCCCTTGAAACCCTTTAATGGGAACCTGCATTTAATTCGGAAAAGGGCTCAAAAAGAAACAGATACGCAGGGGGGCAGGCTCAGTGCCAGCTCGGAGATGCAGTAATCTGCCTGAAGTTCCGCGCTGTCCCTTGCATGTAAACCCTGCAACACACAGAGTGAAGTCAAAGCGCGTAAAAAAGATGATAGCCAAGACAACAATGTCAAGAAAAACAGGCCAGTACACATGTCGTCCTTAGCAGAATGCCCACAATCCCTGAAAACCTCAAGAATGCAACCTCCTTAGCGTCCTGACCCTGGTTCATGGAATCATGCACAACCTTTGCGACCCAAGGAGCACCACAGCCGGCGAACGAGCGGCAAAGCGCGGCTCGGCTAGCTCTGGCCGACGGCCAAGTGCATCTCGGCAAGAAGATTCGCATGTGACCTAAGCCTTAACATCGTAAATAGGAGCACCCTTTACTCATGGTAATAACATGTATGTTACCAGTCATGATGATGGTGACCTTTCGGATTATCAAAACTCACTAGCATGCTCTCCATGCTGATGATGGAGTCCAACTCATCACCTTCTAATTGCAGCTGCAGCCTTGCGCGCTGACCTGACCTTCGAGCATGATTGCCCAAGCCGAAGACCCCTGAGCCCGTGAGCCCTCAGAGGGAATGTCCATATGTAGCAGTTCCGGCAAAGTCCTGAGCCCGCCCCAAGCCCTGAACCCTCTGAGCATGTGCTGCTTGCATTGCCTATGTCTCATGCGCTAATTACTTCTGGTGATGCCGGTTTGAAAGGTAAGCAGGGTCCGTCTTCATAGACTCGACGCATAGCTCCTGTATCAACCCAAAGCTACGAACATGTAACACCGCATATGTACTATGTACTCCCCATACAACTATCTCATAACCCACGTTGCTCCACATGCATGCGGGGAGCTTCAACGCATAGCCCGTGCTCGTATGCCCGCGCGAGCACGCAGCGGGCTTCTACCTGGCATGGGTGCTAGCAGGCGACTGTGCAGCCGTTCTACATAGACCCACGTAAGGATGTAGGGACAGAAACGAGGATTACGAAAGAAGATCACGATAATGTTGAGATTTCGCATAGACTTAAAGTTGCGGGGCCCGTCCAGCAGTCCAAATGCAGCCACAGCCAGCTCCACCAACAACCCTGTTAAACAACCTTGACGTCCGGCCCCAAACTCTAGCAGCCAAGCCGCAGGACTTTGGCTCAGGATCGCTGCTCGGAGAGCTTCGCCAAAGTCCTGGACAATGGAGACAAGACCCAGCTTCTAGGCAAAGTCTAGAAATAGCCACAAGAATCTTTTGCCCGATGTATGGGCAGGCCAGGCCTCAACAGTTTTCAGGAAGATTTGAGTGAGTTGCGGATTAGGGCGGATCAGCACATGCCTCCGAGATTCGTGTTGAGCCTCGAGTTGTTCATTGTCATTGCAACTTCGCATGACTTAGCATCTCTTTGTGAATACCAAAATGAAACATCTGGGCTTCAGGATTCTGACTTCCAGCCTAACAGATTCAATTTACTTCTGAAAGGGTAGCATCCGACGTGTCTAAGACGAGCAAATGCATCCAGTCTCTGGGGCGCGCATGATTCGCTATGAGACTGGCCAAAGGATCGCCCCAACTTGCCAGAACCTCATGGTCGCACCTGTCCTCTCTACACAATGCACAACAGCAGCATTCAAATTTGGAACTGCGACCGTATGCCCTTCTTAAAGTCTTGCAATTCTGGTGAGCCGTATTAAACAGGTTGCTTGATTCTATGCATTTGGCGACGTGATCCCTAAACCCCACACCCTTCATCGTATATTTCAAGCTTGAACTGTTGAATCCAAAGGCCTCTTCATCCCCCGACCTTGTGCAAAGCCCGCCATCGCATCTGAATCTCTTAAGCCATGAACGAGAGGTCATGGTAGTGATGAGTTTTTCATGGCTCTTTCAGAAGGGACAGGGCTTTCAAATCCTCTCTCTAAACCCCGCACGCTCTAGCCTCAACAGCTCCAAAGCGTTAGCCCGCAGCAAGCCTGGCCTCGTTCGTTTCGAACGGGACCTCAAAGCCCTGCTGCAGCGTCGATGTCACGTTCAGGGGTTTTAAGCTTTTGGTGCTCGTGCTTAAGGCTTGGGGTGTTACGTTTTACGCTTCAGGGTTCTGGCCTTGGCCTTGCAGGCTTCAGGTTGAGGATATTGGGGTTTAAGGCTTGGGGTTAAGAGTTTAGGGATGCTTGAGCTACCTTTATACATCGTCCGCGCCGCTTCACAGGCTTCTTGAACCGCGGCCACATTTACCGGCCCTAGACTGCAGCCCTTTGCCCGAAATTGAGGCTTGTGTTCTGGTAGAAGTCCGTTTCTCGAGACCTGTAGACTAAGTCATGAAAACCGCCGCATGTGGAGACAAGCGAATCCATATCGGTCTCTCACGAATTATGGATCTTGAAGAACTTATGTAGAAAGACTACAGAGAAGCCCTAAACCTTCTTACAACCCTAATGCTAAAGGCCTTTCTTGAAGTTATGAACTGCTGGAGGTTCGATGGCGTTAGATAGAGGAGAACCAAATCGAGAACACAATGGATAATGATATAGAAGCTGGGATTATACCAGGGCTTATAGGGTTCCTCATAATCGCTATTGCAGATCACATAAACCCGCCTAGGAGATCACCTGCAGTTATAACCAATTCGAGGACCAGGCTGTAGGTTACATTTGCCGGGGTATACAGACTATAGCTCAGCTGTAGCCGGCACGGCTCATCAAAACGTGAACTGTGCTTGTGATTTCGTCCTCAAGGATTCGAGGAGACAGATCTTGAAGTGTCAGGTCTCCAGGGTTTCGGGTAGACATGGTAAACCCACCAAAGCTCCATGAAACAAGAAATCGCTCTTTTCCATGATGCCCTCATATGAAGCCCGAGACTTGAGGATTTGCGTCTTACCAACCCGCAGATGTCTGGAAAGAAAAAATCTTCAATATCCGTGACGTGGATTCTACTCCTCATCCCCAACTTCAGCATGCAAGACAACCTTGGAAATACTACGAGTAACAAACTGGCGGAAGATTGACCTTGGCTCAAGCGTAGTGTAGACCCCAATTCATTGATTTCATGGCCAACCTGTTCTATAGTACTTGTAGCACAATAGCAATCGTATGCTGTCTTCACCCAGATCTCGCTGGCATACCCTATCTAAACGTCTACTGCCACAAGCTTTGAGGAAACCATCCCTTCCAGCCCTGCGCAGTAAACCACGAACATTCCCAAATACAAACTATACCAAAACACAACGACGAATCCGGGGACAGTCAAGGCTCCAAAGCCCTCCACCTTGGAAAGAGCACGAACTCGCCCAAAAGACACCCACACAAATCCTGAAGACCTGAGCCATCTGAAGCCCGACCCCGAACAGCCCTCAGCCAAACAGGCCCTGTATAAGCCCAGTTTCCATGTCATCTTCCATTTCTTGTCCATTTGATTCTCCATTGTTGAGGGTAGCATTCTGTTGATGCCCGGTATATCCCGATGTAGCCCTAGATATCTATATGTATGTATGCATACCTATAGTAGATCTCCCTTTGCTTTTCCATATCCATTTGATTCTCGATTAGAGCCCCAAGGTAACTGGAGACCCGAGCCCCCACTTGGGTTCCAGTAGCTGTGGCAGCAGGCCGAAGTCGTCTTTGGACCTGGGTTTGTTTCCCTGCATCCACCCCAAAACCATTAAACTTAAACCTTTAACCCTCAACTGTATGGGAGATGCTGTGGATGGATGGAGCCTCGCTCTATACAATGCTTCGGAACAACGGATATCGAAATTGATAAGACAATGGAACATGACATGGAAACTGGAAGACTGTCATCATCGTCCCTTTGGGCTCGTTTCGTGGTCCCTGCCATAATACAGCTCCTAGCAGGTCCTCGTATTTAGGGTGCATACCCTACACCTTGCGAACTCACATGCTACGGCGAACCTGGGAGGGAAGGAAGATCTGACGTCCGGGACGGGCCACACCTGAGGAATCTAGGGATTCCAAGTATACGATAAGTGATATGGCGGTTGCCCCTTTCTTTTACATTCCCCTATGATAGCAGTTCTCAGTACCAATTGGGTAATAACTATAGCATAAACTTGTTTGTAGCCTTGTCCTCCCTATGTTAGACTGTTACTGGGTGCGGGGGGGGGACCCAAAGTATAATTTGCATTGAAGTTCAGCGAAGCTCTGCACCCGGCCTGGATCCTCTCCTCGTGCAAGGCGCTCATCCCATGGTCGAATTTGACCTGGTCGCCTGCCGCAACGCGCTGGGATTAAGGATCCAGGGCTTAGCGGCCGAAACGAACAGGGTAGTGGAGAATCAAATGGAAAAGAACATGGAATATAAAAGAGAAACTGCTCTCCGTGTTTCAGGTCGCCTGCAGAGGCTCCCTTGCAACCCCTTTGGAAGCCTCCAACAATGAATCCCAAAACTGGCCATAGAAGGATAAGGTCCTCTGAGCGGCGGGCCTCTGCAGGACTACGTGTTTGTGAGTCCACCTGAGGAATCTAGGGATTCCAAGTATACGATAAGTGATATGGCGGTTGCCCCCCAAAAGGGACCCCTAAGTTTTGGAAATCCCCACATGCATCTGTGCACATGAAAAGCATGCCCTACACTTGGTCAACCTAAGTGCAAATGAAGAAAAAAGTGTGATTTCATGTTTACGGTTTAGTCTTTAAGATTGAGGCCCTTAAATATTAAGCCCTGAGCCGTAAAGCCTAGTTTTGACACCCCCGAGTCGCCCTGTGCCCCTGAGTTCTGCACATGGAGTGCTCCATGATCGCCTCCACAGGGGCGACGCCCTCAAGTTGGTCACGGAAATACAACTGGGAGTTTCCATGGCAGTTTAAGGTCTACGTAAACCCAGGGATAGACAGCGGAGAACAATGCTATCATAAGGGTGCCTTTCAGGATGATTTTGCAGAAGAAGTTTCCATAAACAGGCGATCACTAGATAGATTCTAGATAGATCCCCAAAATACAATCCGCAGTATGAGGACCCCCCTCCCCCCCGAAAGGAACCCTTAGTTTTGCGACACCCGCACCCCTAAACCCTAAGCCCTTAAACCCTAAACCACTGTAGTGCGAAGACCTGGGACAGGTCTCGGGTTGATGGGTCGTGCAAATCCATTGCTTGGAGGGGTGGTTTACGCATAACTTATAACAACCTTACATTTGTAATTATAGCCCACTTACAACTCCTCCTCAGGGGACTTAGGAGGCTTATAAAACTTGGCTACAAGTAGAGTCGAGGACCGGTGCTAGAGGCCCATCTCGTTGTGCTACAAACATAGTCTTCACCAAACCCCTGATTGGATTAAAAACAGATCCCTCCCTAGAATCTCCATACAATCCTCAAGGAAATGCAAAACGATCATTTTTGGGGATCCTATCAGGGGTCTGGGTCTGCTTTTTATCGAAGGTCTCGAGAGCAAATGTTTAGAGACCGCTCTGAAGTCAAGGAAGCGATTGTCACCTCGCATCACCAAGACAGATGGGATTCTATTACAGATATGCAGGGTTGGGGCTACTTACTCATTTCGGTTGCAGGGTAAGCATCTTCGCTGATACGTGGGTAACAAACAAGGACGTGCGGTGCCTGTTGCAGAACAGTATAGTAACGCCGGAAATGTATCAGTAGAGCACTTCAAGAGCTGCAAATGCGCACATTGTTAAGCTCTTGCACGCAACCACAAGGAATAGATAGCACTCAGCTTTAACTCACCAATGACTCACGTGGTTGTCACACATGCGCTGCGTAAAAAGCCTGCTTTATTCAGCTCCATATGAGCCATTGCCTAAACTCCGAGTGTCCCCCCTGTATAATCCCGTATATAACCACCGTTAAGGAGTTTAGACCCTAGACTAGTCTCCTATAGCCCCCTTAAGGAGTTTAGACTACAGCTCGTTTGGAGCAGGGCATCCGACACTCGTGTCCGCAGATAACATCAGCCCCCTCCCCCCCCGAACGCAGAAACCCGCAAATCACACATCCCCAATCGAAGCAGGTTGGATGAGAGTTGAGCGAGCTGTTGCTGAAAGGAGGACATGCCAACTGAACCATTCTAGCACGACTTTCAAAGCAACACCCCCCTCAACCAAGCGTCTTCAGCCCTGTAAGTCTCATTCCCAGACCCCTCTGCTTACACCTTTTTGGGGCTACAGCCCCACAAGCAAGGTTGGAGGGCTAACTCCCTAGCCCCAACAAACCATATACATGTCCAGGGACTGATTGAGCCAAGGGGCGTGCGCTGTATGCCGCGATGCGAAACTACATTATTGAGCCAACAGTGCCGCAGAATTCCCGCACCTCAAGCCCCGACCAAGCAAATTGTACAGCGCACACTCATTACTCAGTAAAGCCTAGCAGAAGCCCCCTATCTGAATGCAACACCTGTGAACCCTGCACCCTGTCCCTTGACTGCACATGAGAACATCCCTCGAATACTCAATTCACACTTACAGAGGCATTCACGATTCCACGATTGAAACTTTTGGTAGCGTAGCACCAGATCGTAGCTGCGCTGTGTAGCTGATTCAGGGAGCTACTATGTGTGACTGTCCTTGCCTGCTCTTTACACGGTGGGGCTACGATTAGCGACTAGATGGAGACGCAGTGCAAGAGCCGCTGCTTGCCCAGCATGATTGAAAGACTCATCTGAAGGCTCGTCGCGATGATGATGATGATGATGATGATGATGACGATGATGATCATGATGATGATGATGATGTTGATGATGATGATGATGTTGATGATGATGACGATGATGACGATGATGATGGTGGTTATTATTGTAGTATTATCATGTTGATGATGATGATGAGGAGGACGATGAGGAGGATGAGGAGGAGGACGACGACGTAGCACCATGTCCAGTATACATGCACATGATTAACACTATCCACACGAGTCGGTTGGCAGAATGGGTGTACAACAACGCGGACGTTCGCCGCGACCGGCGCTGCCACCGCAGCTGTCAATGCCACCACCATCACCAGCACGGCCGGCAATGACACCAAGTACTGGTAATGCAATCTACAGTATCAACACCACAAACTGCTAAACACCATCACTCCCGTTCCTGAAGCTGGTTGAGGGGCACCGTAAAATAGATGCGTCATGTCACTAACCCAGGTCTGTGCGAGAGCAGCAGTATTTGTATCCTACCGTCATCAGTCAGCAGCTGCCACACCATCCTCATAAAGCGAGACTGGCCAAGAAATGCTGGACGTTAATCCAGTTAACGGTCTAAAGCAGGCATATAGGAGTGCAGCACCTTGCCAAGTTGCTAGCTCGACAGAACCGTCGTGGCCTCTTGGGGTTCCATCTCGTGGAGGCACACGTTAAGCTCTAACTGTTCCAGCTTCAAACATGAAATTGAACTCCATTTTACAGCGCATGCAATCTGTTCTTTCTGTGCTGGCTCTTGCTTGGCCGTGCTTTGTCAGCAACTGCGCGCCGGCGGCGGAAAGCAGGCGGGGCTCAGCTCGAGGGAAGGTCGAGTTTAGGAATGTTTCGGACACGATGTTTCTGGCTCCGCACAAGGCTTCGTTGCGCTACATGAGAGAGCACAACAACTTTGAATCCGCGCCAAGGCTGCCACAAAAGAATGTGCCAAAGAGGGGGAGCCCTTCCGATCGTAGAAGTTTGAACCCCAAAACCCAAACTCTGATATACTTATTGGGGGTTTGTAAGGAATATGGGCATTTATATAATATATGGGGATTATATAGGGATTCTACTCCCTTACTCCCTGCCAAGAACTAGTAGGTATGACGGCCCTGGCGCCTAAACATCCTGAAGCCTGCAGTTTTGGCGGCTCGCCGCGTTTGGGCTTGGCTTGTCATCTGCCTCCTTGGCCTGCACAGCAACAAAAACTGCAAAAACATGCCCAACCCTCCCCTTAATCTAGCTTCGGTCATTGCTGGATGTGTATTGCATGCGTGCTTACTGTAGATGGCTTGAAGTTCAAGGCTTGATAGCTTTTGTATGCTTTTGTTGACTCCCCCCTTTTCCCTTAAGCACCAGTAAAGTAATTAAATGGGACGGCTCCTTACACACCACAATATACTATGGTCCTTACTCCTGGTACCCCCCCCCCCAAAAAAGAAAGGACCTCTAGTTTTCGGGAACAGGTATCCCAATCAAAACCACCTTCCATTATTGCTATACAGTCCCAAGAGAATCCCTATATAACTTGTTTTTTTGGTGCAATAAGGATGTCCTGGCAGCGCGTCAACTTTTGCAGTGGGAGGGTGTAGAGACAGGCGGGAAGGGCAGGCGCACGCAAGCCATCTCGAATGTGCTGTGAAGGTTGTACTACCCAGTATACCGGGCTGCAGTTTCGGAACTTGAAATAAAGTGGTCATAATGAGGGAACTCTAGCATTCACTACAGATACATATTATGGTATCATAAGTTACGTTCCCGAAGAGCAAGCCAGTATGCCCCACCACGTACTCTCAGTTTCCATTACATTTGAAAAGCGTTGTTTTTCCTTCCGATGCTCCAGTATTGGAGTAATATCCCTGTTCATTCAAACGCCTGAGCCCTATAAACCCCAAACCCCGAAACAATATACACCCCCGTATGCCTGTGTGTAGCATGAAGCAGTGGCAAGCTTGACACAACACTACAAAACCAGTCCAGGGTGGGCCTGTTGCTCCAGCTCTGCTGCAGCTTGAATTTCATCGATGTCCAACTTCATGATCAGAACCTGCTGGCCGCAGGGTAGGGAAGAGCAAGCAAAACACACATATGGTTGTGAATCAAAACCCCATTTTGTCG